AAAGTAATCCGATGAGCAGGAATGTTTCGGTCTATCCAGTCTTATACAGATCTATCCAGCACCACAATTGAGCCATCATGTTTTTGTTTTTCTCGCTATCGTCATATAGCAGTGGCCGCGCTCTCGGGTATCACCTACGGGCTAGTGAAAATTTTGGCGGGTAAACTGTTAACTCGGGAACCACAAAGTCTACAAAGCTGAAATTTTAGAATAATGACCCTTTGCCCACGCTCAACCGTACCTATTCAAATTCAGCGTTCCTGCTTTGTCGGGTTTCAACTACGGCCTCGTGAAAATTTTGGCGGGTAAACTATTAACTCAGGAATCACAGGAAGATATTCACCCTTTAAGGTTTCGAATTCAGCTTTCATGCGCTGGTGCGTGAAATATCTATTTTTCAGTGTTTCAACTATTTTTGCATAGACTAAAGTGCAAAGCAGTAAAAATCGTTAATAGGCAATCGTTCGATAGGCTAAATTGCACAAAATGCATGATCGCACTGGCTAGTCTGGTGAGCGGTGCTATTTAACTATATGCTGCATTTTGACAATATGTGTGTTGCTCGCCTCGTTGACCACTGCGGGATATCGCGCATTAGCGAGTGGTATTCGCGAAAAAAATGACCAAAATGGACTGCCTCTGAAGAAGTAGCGCACATGTAGCGATCAAGCAATGCGTACTAAGTGAAGGTTTGCAGCTCTGGATCGAAGGATGTGTAACAGCACCGCAATACCTGGCATATAGTGGGCATCCCAGTAACACCACTAACAAAAGTTCACTGCATCGGTAGTGTTTTATTGAGAAATATCTATGAATCCACGTCCGAATCTGCACTAGAATACTTTGTTCGATCACAAAATAATTTCTTCATTTTTTGAGAAAATCGCAATTTACATGAATAAGGGTGCATCTTCCAATCTCATCCCTTGCCTGTTTCAGTTTTTAAATAAATGGCAACGCGCACCAGACTAGCCGGTGCGATCATGCGTTTTGTGCAATTCAGCCC